AAAAAAGAAACGGTGCAAAGTTGTCGCACGCCCACGAGCAGCGAGTGAGTGAGAGCGAGCGAGCGAGTGCAGAAGAGTGAGAGCGAATTGCGACGCAATAAGCGGGTGCTGCTGTCATAGGCTAACACACACACACACACTCATACACGCCTTACATTGATGTGTGCGTGTGTGTGTGTGTATACAAGTCAAGTTGACATGCCTGCTATTTCTGTTGCTGTTGCTTGCGCAAATTGTCCGTTACGCTGTCGCTTGTTTGTGGGCGCACAAACACACACACACAGACACCCACACACAGACACATGAATTCTCTAATAAAACTGCACGTCACGGCTGCTGTTGTTGTTATTTTTGTTGATTTTCTTGTAAAAATAGCAACAACAGCTCGCCATATGCTTGAGCCGTACATTTTATCCAGCATAGTTCTGGGCGGGCCGTATTAATACTGTGCGCTGTTATTGTCAGCATGCGCACACACACACACATACTCACACACAGACACACATTTATATACATATATCTACACATTTATCTCGTGAAGTTCAGTGTCAAATTTTCATTTCACTTTCGCTTTGAAATGACGGAAAAAATAAACTTGTAACTGCCACTGCCCAAGTCGAAAGCTCTGTCGCCATATTTGTTCGCCTGACTATTTGCTGAGTACATAAATGTTTTTTAAATATTTTATACATATCTGGTATATAAATAAAATATTAAACACACACACAGCTATAAACATGCTCTTTACATTTTTCTTTTCATTCACTGCTCCTATTGCTGCCTGCTTTAGTTTGGGTGCTGCTTATAAATTCTTTTGGTGGCTGCTCGCGTTGACCGTCAGTCGAAGGACTGCCTGTCCTACTGAAATTACCGTTCGTTTGCAGCGCTGCTTGTGGCTCGGCGCTGCCGCTTCGGAGTTTCACACGCACGCAAGCCCACACACACACGCACACAAACACAAGTTTGTTGCCCACAAATTCCTACGCATTTTCGTGCGTGTGTGTGAGTGTGAGTGTGTGTGCGGTGGTTAGCTCTGCTTGTGTGCTGTAGGTTAGGCACATACGCCATCAAACAAAAGCTTTTTCAGAGCTTTTTAAGCCCTCTGCCCTTACTTTCTGTAGCACTTTGAAGTTTAAATGTCAATAGTCAGCACAGTGCTGGCCAAAATAGTGGGCAGAGCTGCGGCAAAATTATGTTGGATGTAAACTTGAGCAGCAGCTGCTAAAGAAAGTTATGAACTTAAAATATTTATATACCTTTTTTTGCTACCAACTGACACACAATTGCCATATGCCGCAGCATATGCGCTACGGCGACAGCCAACTTCACAGCTCCACCTCTTCCACTCGCACTTGACGTAGGTTGACAGCTGTTTGCTTTGTCTCGCACTCTGCCGTTATTGATTTTGCAGAAGGAGCTTGAGCGCAACAGTTTGAAAGTCGCAGCTTTCACTTTCGTGCGCAGCGTCGCAGCAGACTGCGCCTGTCCGCTGCCCGCGCTGCATGTGTGTTAGTGTGTCAGCGCAACGCGTGCGCGTCGCAGCGCGTGCAAAAGCTCCGCCAACAGCCTGTTGCCGACGATGGGCGGGCGCTAGGCAAACACAAACAGCAACAAAATGCGGGGGAGGGCTTCCAGGCAGCGGCGCCACTGCGCTGGAAGGCAGCGGCCAGCCCATTGTCCCAGACAATGACCGTGTGCGCCTCGTTACATGCCAAGGCGTCGCTCTGCTGCTGCGCTGCCGCCGCACTGCCGCGCCGCAGCTCTGCTAATCCCTATGCGTATTCGCCTCTTGGCATAGCTGTGCGTAGCGTATTCATTTTAGCACTCAATAAAACCCAACTGCATGCCTAATACCCTTTTAATGAGTTTCCCTTCGCTTTGTTCGTTTCCGGCTTTTGGTCGCTTCAAAGGGGATCAACGCTCAGCTGGGGCCTGTCTAAGCCCTTGGCTAAGTGTTGGCTTTTTGGCTTTGACTTTCGCCATTTGCTGCTTAGCTTAAAGGGTGGGCGCGGCTGTTGTTGTTGTTGTTGGCGCAACAAGTTGTTGCTGACAACGAAACGATAAAAAGTGTGGCCTGCTTTTGGGCTAACGCATTAATTGCGGCCATTTTGCCGGAAATCAAAGTATTATAAATACATTGTGAATATAAATGAGTACAGTTTTTCGTTAAATCTAGGCCCAGTTAATAAATTATAGATTCTCTTGGAATCGAATTCAATATAGTATCTAAATTTGAAACTTGAACCTGAAGTCAAATTCTTAAGCATTTCTCTTAATACTCTACACTATCAATATTTATATTGCTAACAACTATACTTTAAAATATTTCAATAGAAATCATAATGTAAAATATTTAATTTTCTATTTATATATATTGTAATATATAACTTATATGTTTCCCTCTACTATCTTCTATATAAATCATCAATATTGCCAACTAAATTCGAAAATGTGTCTGCCATACAAAATTTTTAATGTTATCGATAACATGTCGATAACATCATTCAGCATAAAGGCAGTCCTCAATTAAAGAGCACATCGATTTTGTAGCTTTGAGTGCAGATCTAAACCAAAAAGTTTTCATTTACATTTTTTTGACAACGAAACGCATTTGAAATATTTGTTTTTTACATTTTATGTAAATCTTTATTTTATTCATTGTGTAAATTTTGTTGGTTTTAGTTAATAAATTTCAGTATATTCTGCTTTTAGTTATCTTGTAAGCCTGCTTTCAATTTGTTTGCACGTGTCTAGCTATAATGTTGATTAATCTTTTCATTTAGCATATTTTCGCGTTTTTTGCGAGTATAATTCAAAAGTTGTTTTGTTTTTCAAGTCATTTCGTTTCATAAGACGAACAATTTCCCTTTTGTTACGATATAGTATTATATAGAATATAGTTCTATATGCTGTGTGCCAGATCAAAAGTCAAATTTCTACATCATTTGTTTTATTTGATAATTTTTTTTTTTGTTTTTTTGGAATTTTTCGTTGCTTTATTTATGTATTATTAACTAAAAAGTTTTTCGTTTTATGCTTACGTTTATAAATAATTTCGAGCTTAGCCTTTTTTTCTTGTGTGTGTGTATGTATGAGTGTGTATGTTTGTGTGTGTGATGCAAAATTAAATATATGCTTTATGTTTAATGTAAATTAAGTCTACTTAAAATTTGGTTAAACGCTAATTTACACAGAAAAAAAATACACAGCTAATTAATTAGAACTAATTAGAACTTGCGAATAGGCTTAAGTTTAAAAGTGATGCTTATGTGTGTGTGTGTGTGTGTGAGTGTGTGTGTAGTTGGACTTTTGTGTTTTGTTTTCTTTTGTACAAAGCGTTAAAATCAATTGTTGTGACGGATTTGTTTAGTAACTGTGCGAGTTTTATGCTTGTTTAACTGGCCGATCTATATAGTTAGTATATATATATGTATATATATATATATATAGTCTAGCTGATCTGCCAGCACTGACAACATCGATAAGGCAAGTTTAGGAGGCGGCAATTTGTGGTTTATCTAATTGACGGTTGTTGCACGTTTTGTTAAAAATAGCAGCTAAACAAAAAAATTATGTTATTATTTTTTATCATTTTTCTTTACAGTCTAAGTAAAAGGCACTGATTTGTTTGTATTTCAATATATACGATGCTGCTGTGAGTGTGTGTGTGTGTGTGCTAGTGCGAGGTGCAACGAGTTCACATTGCAGCGACAACAACAACAACAACAACAACAACAACCGTCAAAGTGTGCGTGTGTATGTTTATGTGTGTGTGTGTGTGTGTGTGCAATGAAATATACAAAATAATAATACATTATGTAATTACTAAAAATGTAATTAAAATACGCGTGTATTTGTATGTGTTTTAACTCATGTTTATATCAATTGTAATTATTATTATTATTATTTGTTGTTGTTCTACATTTAATTTACATACATTTATTTGCTAATACATAAAAATGTGCATGTGTGTTGGGTTTTCGTTTGCTTTAGCTCATTTTAAGCGCAATTTATTTCTTTAATTTCGTTTGCTGCCTCATTTTTAATGTGTGTTTTTTTTATGAATTATAAAAAAATTCTATTTATGCTGCTTCTTGTTGTTGCTTACTTTTAACTATGAGTATGAGATGAGTTTTGAAAGCAGATTTTGCAATGATTTATTTGATTATTTTATATAATTGCGTATGTGTGTGTGTGTGTGAGTGTGAGTGTGTGCGTATGAATGTGCTTGGGTTTGCATTTTGGTTCAATAATTTAATATAATTTAAATATGTTGTATTTAGTTATTGTGTGTGTTTTGTTTTTCACTTATGGTTTACTAAATAAAGCATTCAATAGTTAATAATTTATAGTTGTATAGTTTATATTTTAATATTGTAGTTCTATATTTTATGTAGTTGTAGCAAAAAGCAGTTACAAATAATAGTCGCAAATTTATTTAATTTATACATACATGATCAAGACAAGTTTAGGGGCGCGCCTAAATTAAATATATTAATTAATATATATAGAGTATATGTTAGCATAGCTTAGAGCAAAAATCATAATACCTTAGCTAGAGCTAGTTGCGCATTTTAGCATCATAAACATAATTAACGCACGCAGCAGAGAAAAAAATTATAATATTAAACAATTTCGACACAAAAAAAATTGAAAAAAAGGATAAACAAAAATCGATGATTTGTTTAAGACAAAAAGAAACTAAACATACAGTATGCATATATATATATGTATATATATATATAGATATATATATCGTAATGATTATACAGTATGGGTTGTATATAATATTTAACATATATATATATAGATAGAGCGTGGTATGGTATATATGCATATATATATAATAATTATCATTATAACATAAACGTTGTTGAGTTTATCGAAAGTATTTTTTTGTTGTCGGCTAAATTTTGTTCGCTTTTTGTTATTCATTTCTTTTAATTAGCATTTTCAACTTTAGCAAGTATTTTTTTATAAAGGGTTTTAGTCCTCAATTCGTTGTTGTTGTTGTTGCTGTTATTGTTGTGGCGTCTTGAGCAGCAGTATGTCCTTTTTGCGCGTCCGACCGGCGCTGGCATTGAGCCGCTGATAGAAATAGTTGCGTCCGATTTTGCGCTGCAATTTATAAAATTTGCCCGCTAGGAACTTGGTTATGCTCTGCACATAATCGAGCACATCTTCGTGATCCTCCAGCAAATGTATCGAAATGATGTCGATTTTGATCTTGTCAAAGGGCAGCGTCTGCAAGATCTGCAAGGCAAACGTTATATATTAATCAAATTTCTCTGTTTACATATAGGGTATATTCTTAGCTCACCTCCAGCTCATGCCCCTGCACGCCCAGACTGAGCAGATCGTATTCGGTGCGCTCACATGCCAGCATGATTGTGTAGAGCGGAAAGCATTTGACACGCGAATTGAACCACGACGTCTCCTCGTCGTGCAAACTATTTATGCGCACATCCTCATTGTGTATGGTTATCTGCGGAGAGTTGGTATTGAATATATTATTTATTTATATTTCGCATTTATTTTAATTATTCGATTTTTAATTGCAATTGACTGCTCACCTCTTTGGGAAAGGGATTGGGCGAAACGCAAGCATGCACCACCTGCATGCGCTGCCGTTGCGCATTCTGTTTGCGCAACGCGAAATACCAGCGCGGCTCCGGCTCGACCAGGACGCCCATCCAGTTGAGCTGATCGCTCAGCCAGGGCGCCGTTATCAGATGCGCCAGCGGACCGCTCAGCGATTGGATGACCGCGCCATTCAGCTTGCCACCGACCAGGTCGGACACATAGTTCGCCAGCTGATCGGCGACGCTGTTGCCGCTGCCGCTGCCACTGCTGCTGCTGCTGCTGTTGCCCGTGCCGGCGGGCGGTACAGCTGCGCTGGCAGCTGGCGCCTTGCCCGAGCTGGAGACGGTGCCGCTTTTGGCCATATACATATACTTGCGCATATGGATCTGGCGCAGGAATGCAATGAGTGCGGGATCGTCTTGCGCCACGCTGTTCAGCTCGTAGTCGCGCGACATGTTTAGCCGGAATTGCTGATGCCGGATTTCTGCAAGAAAAAAAGAATTATTAGCACAATTAAAAAAACTTTCCACTAGGGGGCTCGAACCCGCGCTTCTGGGTTCATTTCGTGAACTTGCAAGGACCCGAGTTCGAGGCGCACTAAAACAATTTTTTTTTAATTAAATAAATTCTATTTTATCTACTATCTACTTATATTTTAATTGAAAAATAAAATAAAATTGAAAATGTAAATAAAATAAAACATTATTTGAATAATCTTAAGGCTCGGATTTTTTTTCGCAATTTTTCAAGGCTCGGCCCGGTTCGAATCAAACCCGGTTTGCAGCCTTGATTATTGGCATTGTTTCTTTGTTGTTGTTCAGCTGGGCAATTAGATTTAATTAAAAGTTGTTGCACCACTGGACGCTGACCAGCAGCACCAACAGCAGCAGCAGCCGTCGCCTTGCATGGGGCATGGCGTGCGCTGCATCCACTTCGATACGCTCGGCTGCCAATTGTGGCGCATTGACCAGATTTGCATTGATCAAATTGAGCACGCGCGAGGGAGACTCGAGGAACGTCTTGGCAATCGAAACACTGACAGCAACATTCCACTGACAACAACATTCGCTGCAACAATGTAATATTCATTCTTCTAATCGCTTTTGTATTTACAATTTACATGAGCAATTTGCAGGCAAAGTAGGTTTCATTTATAGCTTGCTTTAAATTCAAAAGCATTCCTGTTGCAGGTTACAAAGAGCTTTAGCATGTGTTTCATTCCAATACGTTCCAGTTTTGAATAGTGGCCATTCCATTCTCTTAAAATCTATTCCAATTATGAAATCAGTTTTCGCTAATTAGAAATGCCCTGACATTTTGGCATTAATTTTTGGGTAAAAGTGAGAAGTGTGTGGTCTCAAATCGAAGGTTAAATGCCGTTGCCAAAAGCGGAAAAAAACGTAACAAAAAAAATAGACGTCAAGAACTTTGGCAACGACCTCACCTGACTCAAATGAGCCTTGAAACTATGCCGGCGCGCTCGTTGGGGACCGGCCGGTAGGCCCATAAAATATAATGAGCGCACGGCCTTTGATATTTAGTTCATGAGCCAATTTCCCTGCCCTTAAGTACAAGTGCTTGTAATGTATACAAGTATATACATATATATATATACATAAACAAGCCCAACTATTTGTAGTTTAAGTTTTAGTTTCAGCGTATTTTATTTGCTTTTCACACTTTCCTTGCGCCAATTTCCACTTTTTGTTTCGTTTTGGCTGACCGTTAGCGGCTGAAAAACAGCACAAAATGCTCGTTAAAGGCAAAAGAAATTAAAATATAAAATGTAGTCGTAATTGTGGCAAGTGGTTGGGTTCGACAGCTAACTGCAAGGGCCATGGCTAGAGAGGGCCATAGACGGGTTTCCAGCAAAGCCCAAGAGGCGTGTCCGCGGTCCGCCTCGTGTTTATGTCGCAATTAGAGTGAGGTTAGGTACAATGTGGCATGGAACATGCAAATGCGAATGCAAATTGGGCAAATGCAGGTGCAAGCTGTAAAACTTTAGGCAACTTCTGTTAAACTAACTCATTCTGGTTAAATTACAAACGAAAAATGTAAGTATTTATTCGCATTTATTTGATAGGTTAATTGTGAGGTTAGGTACAGTGTGGCATGGAACTGGTAAATGAATGGAACACGTAAATGAAATTTGAGGCATATAAATATATAATATATATACAAATACAAATTTATTTAAGTATTAATTCACATCTTTTTAACTTGCACGCATTAATTGTGAGGTTAGGTACAATGTGGCATGGAACATAAATTTGAAGAAAATGTGAAAGCTTCAAGCTTGTTATCTGAACTGAGTAAATGATGTAAGCCACATGAGTTAAAAACTTTTTAGATCTGATATTTTAATCTTCCGGAACAAATCGGAATGAAACTGCCTAATTATGAATAAAAGTAACTATCAAGAGTTTCAATGTTTGATATAAAGTTGTAAAACTGTAGACCGTTTGATTTTTTAAATTTAAGAAATGAAATTTATAGTTAAAGTTTAGAGTACAGTGGGTAACCAAGTGGAATGGAACACTCTTTCATTGGCCATATTAAAATTATGCCACTATTTAAATGGACTTATTGAACTTCTATTGATTTTCAAACCTAATAAATATACTTTTTATGGCTGCATATAATAATAATCATAATCGATAAATCAGACCCATTTTTATCGTTTTCTTTTTTTTATTTTTTGGTGCCATTCTTTTGGCCTTCTGCAGTTAGTCAGCGTTTGGGGCCAGGCCGAAGATCGACCTAGTTAGATTAGGCACGGTTCGGCGCGTTAAGGCCAATAAATCAACGCCGTGCGCCGTGCGTTATATATTAGCTGTTGGCACAAGCAGAAGACAACAGGCAGTTACAATTTAGCGATATTTAACAACAACAACAGCAACAGCAACAGCAAATACAATTGGCTCTTATCACACACATGGAAACGGGCCATTTTGAATGGGAGCTAAACAAGCAATTACACGTCAAATGAGACCCGGACTTGAATGCGCGGAGTTGTAGAAATCAATAATAAAAGTGGCAATAGAAATGAATTATACAACAACGAAACGAGGGAACGGGCAACGGGTAACGGTGGCCGGGCTAGGGGCACACGCAATCCAGGCCATATACAAATATTATACAACAAGGGTAACAGAGGAACAAAAAAAAAATAAGAAAAAAGTTTTTCCTTTTTTCATTGGCCCCCCGCCCATTTTTATTGCTGTTTGAATATTCTTTAAGCGCTCTCGTAATTGAAAATGCATAAAAGTTGTGCGGCTTTTGTTGAGTTATTGAATAGGGCGTGGTGCAACGGGGCACAACTTTTCTGCGACTCAGAGCTACCCCTGGCAAAAAGTCCGCGCCCTGGGGCAGCCATCAGTCTCTCAGTCTCTCCGGTCTCGGGCTTGACGTCTTTAAGTTGGCCGCCGCCGTCGCCGCTTAACCGCAATTAAACGTTCCTTCGAATTATTTTTTGGGCCTTGCCCCGTCATTTGTCTTGCCACCCTGACGACCATTGTACGAGCCGACGCCGTCAATTCCCTTGTCGCTCGTCGTGCAAATTAGAAATGTCAGCGTTTTTGACGCCGAAATTGCTGAGCCCGAGGCCAGATTAAACTTCTTTTTTTCGCCCTTTTTTTTTTTTGGTCTTCCTTGTAATTGTTCCAATGCGGATTACCATATGCTCGCATTTAACGGTTTTCAGGCGCAGCTGTCTCTGTTTCATTCCACTTCATTTCATGACGTAAACAAATTTGTAAGGCGCGCGTTTAACTCTGAGAGGATCAACGGTTGTTGAGCTTATCTTAAGCTTTGCCAAGTGCATTTGTATATGTTTCATTCCATTTCATACCAGTACATTTCATTCGATTCTTTTTTGGTTTGTATTGTGTATTTTATCAATACTATTTTCCTCTTCTCCCTCTAACTGTTTTATATCTCTGTAATATTTCAATGAGCAGCTGTCTCTGTTTCATTCCACTTTATTTCATTACGTTAACAAATTTGTGAGACGTGTGTTTAACCCTGAGCTTATCTTATTATTTCCCAAGTGCACTTGTATATGTTTCATTCAATTTCATTCCACTCAATTCCTTTTTCGTTTATATTGCGTACTTTATCAATACTGTCAGCCTCTATTTCTCCCTCTAACTGCTTTATCTCTCTTTAATATTTCAATGAGCAGCTGTTTTGTGCTCCATTCCATTTCGTTTCACCCTATCATATTGCATATTCTGAGCCTAACCCATTTTCTGCTGGTAGACCCATCTATAAACTATTCAACTTAACCTCTAATCGCCCAATTGCCGTTGAGTTCATGTAATGCGATCTCCCGTTCCTAATAATAAACTGTCTGTGATATCAGATTTCTACCTCTAATAGTGGGCATAAATTTTCTTTTTTCCTTGACTGTGTATGTGTGTGTTTTGTTTTTAACTGTATTTTATGGAACTGCGCTGCTCGGTTGTCTCATAAAGTTGGCGCACTTTCCTTTCAAATTACGGCCAGCCGCGTTAATTAGTCCAAGTTTTCACTTGAGCATTTCATTTCATTGCTGTCGCGTTACGTTTTCATGTCGGGGTGCAGCAGCAGCAGCAGGTGGGAGGGCGGGAAGTGGTTGCCCGAACAAATTACTAAATTGTCGGCGTTTTGGCCAAAAAATTGTCGTTGACCATTTTATGAGCCCAGCGCCGGCAACTGTTTCGCAAAATAAATACATTATAATCAACTTTATGGCCATTTTGTGACCGAAAAGTTTTTTTTATATATATATATATTGAAAAAATTAGCTTAAGGCGGGACGAGGCAATAGACAATGTTGGGAATTGGTCTGGTCTTAAATATTTGACAATAGCGAAATATTGGCAATAAAAAATGTTGTCGGATATTAACTCGAAATGGAAAATTTAAGTTTATGGCAAATGTATAAAGCATGCAATTTTTATAGGAAATGGTTGGGGTAATTAAATTGAAATGTGTTTCATTTCCATTTGTAGCTAAATTGACAAACAAAATAATCGTGGTTAATTTAAATACTATTAGAATTTTATGTTTATTAAAAGTAACTTTAAAAACAGATCTTTGATTGTATATGAAATGTGTTAAGGATGCGTTGAAAGTAGTTAAATTGTATTGTGCTTCATTACCATTTGTACCTAACCTCGCAAAACTATAAATAGAGAAGATAATGTACTAAATTATATATGTTTCATTTCCATTTACTAAACAAATAAAAAAATATTTAAAATGAGATATTAGATTGTGTATGAAATGTCTGAAAGATAGGTCAAAGTTATAACAATTTATGTTTCATTACCATTTGTACCTAACCTCAAAAAACTACGAATAGCGGAAAAAATGTATCAAATGATATATGTTTTATTTCCTAAAATCTATATACTATAAATATATATAAGTGAAAGAGATTTGAAATAGACACATTACAAATTAAACAATTTGCATGTGTTTCATTTCCAACTATACCTA